AGTGATTTTTAGCACTGGACTGTCATTCTTGACTTGGCTGGCTCTCTGGCCTTTGTCTCAGCTATCCCAACAGCTTCTCAGAGGTGAAGCCTGTACACGGCTCCCTCTAAAAACTGGTTCTGATGGGAGAAGGATGGATAAGATTGCACAAAATTGGGGTCTAACTTCATCTCAGCTATTTAACAACCTTGCTGTTAAACCTTATTACCCACTTTCCCTCTGCAGATGATAAGAAAAAATAAGCTCCTCCATTTTATATCTCTTACCTTGTGCTGTGCTTGAGGACAAATCCCCTTCTGGAGGTTTCTCTTTCTGTTATTGACTAATGTAGGAGCCTGAAAAATCTGTGTAGACTCATTTGCTGGTTTTAATCACTAAAGTTAGGCAAAATGAGTTCCACTCTTGAAGTGGCCTCTGTCCGCACTGTCTGTGTAGGTTGCCAGCTGTTCCAGGCAGTGAGGTGTCCTCCTTGGTATTTTGTACCGTAGTCATAAAATCCACTTCTTGTATGTGTTGATTGCTATCCTGGGGACTTCAGATATCATGCACAGCCATGGAAAAGCTGTCTGCAAAAAGCCTAGATAATTGCAAAATGACTTACAATAAGGCATGGAAAGGCTACTGCAGATCCAGCTTTTATTATAGCGCAGTTCACTCCTCCGGCCTGGAGGGAGAGAAAATACACAAAATGTATCTATGCATTTGATGGCATCTTTAATGTTATACTGAACATACTTAGAAAAATAAGGACTCACATTCTAGCTACTGTATTGAATCAAACAAACCTTTCAAAGGAGGGAAAAAAAAAAAAAAGTCAAATCCATGATCTATAACTATAGCTCAGTAATTTATAAGGAATGAAGGTATATTTTTCTAGCAATGTGTTAACATATTCAGTGTAGTATGACCAAATATTTCTGCTTACCAGCTCTGTGCCCACTTATTTGCATCTTCTTCTTTGTATCCCTATGGAACAGAGATACTTGGTACTGACAAGTTCTCAAAGGATTAGAACAGTGAGTTTGAACCTGCAATTCAAAAAGCAGCATGGCTCCGTGGCCAGCTCTGGAAGGCTCCGTGAAAGGAGTAGGGAAAGCAGACTCAAACAGGCTGGATAGCAGCCCCCTCACACAGAATTTCTAAGGGATTTTACACCTACCTTCAGCATGTATAAATTGGAGAGAGGGTGAAACCACTGAAACAACAGAAAATGATGGCTGCAAGTATTAAAGGGCGGGTTGCAATTGTTGAAGATGAAAATTAGTGCACGTTTGCCAAAAATTATGGCAAACCCAATACTTCTTCCGGCCCTTCCAAAGAAGTAGGTTATCTTTCTAAAATTATGTGTACAGTAAGCATTACAGCACTTTCTTGCAAACGCTGAGCAACATCCCATGCAGGGTTGCTCAGAGATGTCAGCTCCAGTCCCGGATGCCACGTGGACATACCAGGGTAGTATTGTTTCTCAATCAACAGAATGAGTTAGTGTGGCACACCATGGCATTAGCACAGCTATGTTACTTCCAGCTCCGCGGAAAGACCATATGAAGCTGGATGTGAAACCTCCTTGTCTCACCACATAGATACAAATATCCTTAAAAGCTTGTTTTGCATGAATAAAATTCTACATTCTGACGAGCAAATATTCAGAGCAGACCATCATAATGTCCCATAGTTATTCAAAGTACATCCCTCTGTAAGCATGACCAGTGGAGGATTTATCCATTTGCTATACTCTGGGTTGCATCCACTGTTCCATCTATTTTGATGAATGTGTCCAATTTTCCCTAAAATATAAATTATTCACCATTTATGGACATACAGTCGCTAATGGGTGCCCTTACAAGGTCCTTAGGAAACATGAAGGCACTTGAATTTACCTCTTTTTAAATCTACACTTTGCTGCTTTCAGTGGAACACAGGAAGGTGCTGTAGCACATTATGTTGGCTAAGGGAGAGATTCCACAATGTAAATGTGTTACAAGACATAACCACTGGCATAAGGCATAGTCAGTGCCTAAGGAGATAGTGCCACACTCCGACTAGTAGTGACACTTACCGTGCCAAAAATCCTTGTCTGAGTTAATTTTGCCAAATATTACAAACACATTACATAGTGTACATTAATGTAAATATTACATTATTTACATTACTATTAGATAAAACTGCACAATTCTAAGGCCAGCATGGAGGACACCATCTCTCTTTGAGTGTGTTACAGCAAGCACCAATGAAGTGTGCTTTATATGAAAAATACCAAATGCTTTAATATTATTTTTAAAAGGAACATCTGTTTTTATTTTCTGTCTCAGTTGTAAAAATAAAATATTTCCAGTCATATAGAGCTAGAGCTAGTCTTTGGTTAGATACCCTCTCCTATGCTTACTGAGACAGGTATGATAAAGAACACCGAATAAAGGTTTTAGAAATGAACTGAAATATGTTTTCCACTCTCCTTGTCCTCTCCATCTGCCACTTAATCGTGGTCATAGCGACATGGTTCCAGGAGTGACCTGCTAGATAAATAGACTTGTTTTTCTTCTGTGATTCTATTCTTACAGTTTGTCAGCACCTGAGCCCAGCAGGATCAGAAAGGATGGAGGAGGGAGAAAAGTGGAAGTGGACACAGGTGGGCCTGGCAGGTCCACACTATGAAGTGACCTGATGTGTTTCTACAGCTTTCCTCTCACTCATAGGGATTGTGATGGATAGGGCTGCCCTGTTGGCTTTTTGGTAAATAACTCAATCCCTTTTGGTTAACTTTTCTGTAAGATTGAGTTCAAGCTGAGCAGAACTCACATTTCCTTTTCAGCTTTTTTACAGAGGTTAATGTGTGAGAAGAAAAATGCAGACCAATTTGGTAGCTACTTCAGAAGTGTTTACTCACCTCAGTTATGATGCAGCATAGAGAGTAGTGGGACTTACTGGCGAGCAAAGAAATGTAAAGAAATTAAATACTGTTGAGAGGTTAAAGGGAATAAACCCCCTGAAAGATAAGCAGAAGTACAGTAAGTGTTTAGTCCTGCACAGATTCTCAAATACCTGTCTCCTACTGTGCTCTGAAACAGTCGATCCTGTCTTGAGCATGCACCCAACTGATGATTCCTCTGTTCCCACTTCTTAGACCAACAGTAGATCAAAATAAAATTCACATTCTTTCAGCACTGTTAAAATGAAAGGGATCTCTTTAAGATGAGTCCTTAAAGAAGGAAGAAATAGGTCAAAAGAGTACGCTTGTATCTCACCAATCCAATAAAACCTCGATCTGCTGACTTAAAAACCTCTGTGTGATGCTAAAATAAATGAGTAGGGTCTTTCCAATGGAGCGTTCATGTGTGAGAGAACTCCAGCAGGTCCAAAAGTCATCACAAAAGATATGCTTCTGTCTTTTTTAGTATAATTGTTGTGGTACCTTCCATGCCTCCAACATTTTAAATGAAGAGTAATCCTCAGGCTCCACACATTGAATATGCCTCTGTGGGACCAAACCTCGGTTTTTTACCTCTTGCTGTTATTTTTGGAGGCAGTCTGTGCTTATTACAGGTTTGGGGGTTTTCTTTTGCAAGGTTATTGGACCACTACTAAACCAGAAGAAGTTAAAGAGGGAAGAAGTAAAGACAACAGGTTTTAAGAGAGCCTCAATTCTTAAGTCAGAAAACAAGTTTTGTGTGGAATCAGTTTACTGTCTATCCACTTATGGTGGAGTAGTTTGCAGCTTCCTTGGAAAACTTGCTTTTGTCATGATTTTGGAGGATGTGCCAGCCAGAAGAGCTGTTCTTTGTCTCCTGGATGGTTAAAAATATGCAGTCTTAGGTTAGTAGCCAGGAAGACTCAGCTAAAGGGTCAAACAGAAATAAGGAGGTGTTTTATCCCACACAGATAGTAGACCCAAGGCAGTCCTTGCCAAAGGATGTTAGGGATGGAAAATGTCTACACAGCTTCAAGGAGAGGAACTGGGCAGGTACTCAAAAGTGAGAACTAGTGAGAGGTACTGGGCAGACAAACTGCATGTCATGCTGACAAAATCCCCTAAACTAGCACTCAGCCTTTGCACCTCTGATTCCAAAAAGCCAAACTTTCTCTGAATCTCAGAAGATGACACCCATACACTTTAAAGCTTTTTTGTTTTAGAGAAATTCAGTAAGGAATCAAGATTTTATAAGGAGCTAAATGATCTATTTTGACACAGCCATCATCCTTGCAGGATACATTTTTTTTTTTTTTTTGTCTCAGAAAGTGTGTTTGCAGAATGATTGTCATTCAGGACGAAATAGGAGTTCATAAAAAAAAATCATGTAAATTTAATCCCTGAGGCAATAAAAATGTCTTTGGAATAATACAATCCTAAGAAAGATTCCCAATACAAGGCTACCTAAGAATATAGGTTCAGATTCCACCATACTAGGAAAGTGGGAAAATATTTTGTTATCAATAAGAAGAGCAATTAAAATCCTATGTCAGATTTCAGGAGAAAAAAAAAAAAAATATATATATATATATTTTTACTGTTTTAAAAAAGGTAGAAACATTGTAGTAGTCTGATTCCACATGAATGACTACAAAACCAGATTGGCTTTCTATGGGTCAAACTCTGTTTCTAAGTACTTGCTGCCATAGACAACAGAAAATAAAAATCAGCAGAGATCTGAAAAATAAAATCATGCCAGATTTATTTTGTTGTTTTGTTTGTGTCTCATAACGATGTAGCATCAATTTAATTTTGTAAAAGCTTTTTGGACTGAGTTTTCAGGGGCTTTTTGTCTGGTTTCTCACCCTCTGACAAATACAAACATCTTGTAGGGTGTCTCACATCCTATATTTCAGATTCCCAGCTCTCTAAATCTCACATTTCTGATTCTGTAAATGCATCTGCTACAGGAGCTGATACAAGTAGCAGGAACCTCTTCCCTTACTCTATAATCTAATGCACTTAGCAAGCCAATGAATATGTGTGAAAGGAGGGGCTTTCTGGCTAAGGGACTCCTTGCAGGAGAACAGCTGTTAGAACAGCAAAACCTCAACTGAAGCCAGGCAAACACACTCACATCTCTCAGTGGCTTTGAGCATCTAGGTCTGGCAAGATAAGACCCCTCCTCCCTTCCTCTCTGCAAAAAGTGAGCAAACTAGCACAGAGAATCTTAAAGAAGACTTGATCTCAGCTGTGAAACGTTTCAGAAGATCCAGTAATGGCCTGGGTCAGCAGTAATATCTCCTGGTTTAATCACTTTGCTCTACATGAAGAACATTTTAGGAGGTACTTAAACAGCACTGAGGATTACTTAGCCTTCCTATGTGGGCCCAGACGGAGCCATCTGTTCTTGCCTATGGCTTTAGTGTACACCCTGATCTTTGTTGTTGGGGTGGTAGGTAACTTCTTAGTCTGCCTGGTAATCCTCAAGCACCGGAACATGAAGACCCCGACCAATTACTATCTCTTCAGTCTTGCTGTCTCAGACCTCCTCGTGCTGCTTTTTGGGATGCCACTGGAAGTCTACGAGATGTGGAGCAACTACCCCTTCTTGTTTGGGCCCGTTGGCTGCTATCTGAAGACAGCACTCTTTGAGACGGTGTGTTTTGCCTCCATCCTCAGCGTGACCACGGTCAGCGTGGAGAGATACATTGCCATCCTCCATCCTTTCCGTGCCAAGCTGGAGAGGACTCGCAGGCGTGCCCTGAGGACCATCGTGGTGCTCTGGGTCTTCTCTGTCCTTTTCGCCCTCCCCAACACGGGCACCCATGGCATCATGCTGCAGTATTTCCCCAATGGCACCTTGGTCCCTGGCTCTGCTATCTGCACTGTAGTCATGCCCATGTGGATCTACAACTGTATTGTCCAGATTACTTCTTTTCTCTTCTATGTGCTGCCCATGGGGGTAATAAGTGTGCTGTACTATCTGATGGGGCTAAGAGTAAGTCCTACTCTGGCTGTGCTCAGTGTTTCCTTAGCTCATTCTTGTGTGTTTGTGTCTGTATATGTCTTTTAAGTGATTGCACCTTTTTTCTTGCCCATCTGTTTTCCCAAAAAAAAGCAAAAGTATTTCAAACCTCTGAAAACTGTGGATCCAACTTTGGTGTAATCCCATTCTGAAATCATTATAGCTATGTTGAGGAATAATTTACCCCAATCTTTTTTTAAAATCCTACCATCACTGCTGCTCACATTTGGATGTTACTTAAACACCAAGACTGCATATTGATTTCAGCCTCTCAGAGATTCTCACTTTTGCAGTAGGGACCAGAAGGAAATAGAACAAAAGGAAAATGTGAAAAGAATAAAAAGGAGCAGGCTAGTGATTGGATCTTGTATATTATTTGTTTTCCCTCTACTTGTGACTGTGGAGTTTCCATTGCATTACTTTATTTTTCTCCTTCCCTGGAGATGGTGATAATATTCAGTTGTTAAAACTCACCAAGCTGTCATAAACTGAAATGCTACCTTATTGTTGCAGCTACCAAATTCAGAAATCATTTCTTTATATAGCGATGGCATCGTTTCACCATTGATTAAGGCTACCTTAGAGCTCATATTCAGTCTCTCTTCTGAAAATGAGACTAATTTTACCAAGTATTCATTATTTAAATACATGGATAAAACAAGTATTATAAAACTGTGTAACACAACACTAAAATACACTGCTAATCATAGCGAGTCGATGACTTTTTTATTCTCTTACGTTACATATATTTTGAAAATATAAATCCTATCTCATTTCACCGAACGTAACTTAAAGTTTAAAAAGCTGTCTGATCATATAGCAGGAAAGGGATGCAATATGCTGCTAGAGATGAATGAACTTACCGAATAACGTGCAAGAATTTCAACCAAATCTCTGCTGGTGTGTTTATCATTTTGTTGTGCTGGCTGACATTTACTGTTATCTGAAACTACAGAGAAGCAGTTTTTCCTTAACCAGGAAAATACACGAGGATTAAGTGCCAGAAATCCATAGCACACAGCAGATCTTCGAAGCAATGAATAGGTTAAATTATCCCCACTGCCCAGTGGCTGTTGTGGGGTCTTTACACAGTTTCATTGAAAATTTTGCAAAATAAGACCTGAAGGGAGGAAAAATTGCTGAAAATGTATCAGTCACAAAAATAAATAGAGACATCCATGGAACTAATAAAAAGAAGTCTTGAAGATTGCAACAATTTCTATTTGTGGCATCAAATATTCCTAATCCTCATCCCAGAAGAGAAACTACGTACCAGACAAGGGTTTCTCCCCCAGGACTTCTGTATATTCACAGATATGTTCAAGCTGTCTTCCCTAAGGGCTGCACTGATCATTGTTTATGTCTCTGCTTTTCTGTATATCCAGCTCAGACTAACAAATTTTAAAGAACATCCATCCTGGATATGTCTGCACTGCACTTCAAACTGCACTAGGCAAGATAATTTCATTTTTTCAACAGAAACGATAGAAGAATGGTGTAAATATATCTAATTTTTCAAGAGAAGACACTTTTTATCTACTCACAGGGGATGAAATCTGTAAAGCTTTAGCAACGCTCCAGAGTCTCCCGAGTGCCATGTATTGCTCATAGACTGTAGTGGAAAAACTCAGAGTAGATCCAAAGGTTGTACAACAGCTCAAATTCAGCAAAGAGAGCCATAGCCTTTCCAAGTCCAGGCTTTGTGCAACGGGCATTTCCTCACCAAAGTTTTTCCCTCAGGCTTTGCCAGTGCTCAGGAAAGCACTGTGTGACAGAAATCATGTGTGACATGTTAAGCAGTTGTGAGAAGGCAGCAAAAACATGTCATATAGGAGCTGAGTTAATTTTTAATTTTATTCCTTGGAAAAATGCAAAAATATGTTTGTTTTACACAAAGAAATTTATTGCCAGCAGAGCCATCAGGTTGATTACCTCATGATCAATTAATTACCTTATGATCTACCTGGATATAATTTTAAGGCTTGGTGGTTTAACAGTACAGTGTTATGGTCAGTAGATAGTTCCAGCATTAGTGTAAAGAAGATAACACCGTAGTCTCATTAGATTTGACTGTGGAAGCTTCTTTCTGCCTGTTTCATTGGGTCCTCATCACAGGTGCCTTTAGGACCAACCCCTAAATCAGCCAGGCTCTTCTTTAAACCCAGTTCAGCTGTGGAGCTACTGGTTGCAACCTTTAGCCCCACAGCTGAGGAGGAATAGGACAGGGAGAAAACAAGAACATTGGGAAATGGCTGTTGTAGAAGCTAATCCCTGCAGTGCGGGTAGAGGTGGGGTGGCATTGCTTGGGAAGAAGTCTACGTCGCAGCAGGATTCAGTGCAAGGTCCCCAACTGTTTCTTTCAAACCGATCTCTAAAAGGACACAGGGATAAGTGGTTATCCCTAGTTGTCTAAAAGCCAGACTCTATTTAATAAGGATTTTTGACAGTGAATCAAGTGATTGGAGAGTCCAAAGACTTATTTATCCCACCTACCTCAGACATCAGTGAGGGGATCTAGATGACCAGATGAAACTAGATTGACCGTACCTAGTCAGGATGATTCTTCTGCTGAGTCCAACACTTCTCTTAGTGTCACTTCCCCTCAGTAACACATTGGAAACACTGGTAATTTTTATTTCAGCTGTCTTTAAATCAAGACAATTTATTCTTGCCAATGCACAGCTGGTCCAGATTTTTTCATCGGAGTCTGTTTTGTCCCCTAAATGCCCCGTTGTTAGAACCAGAATCCTCTGCAGACAGTGACTGCCTTTGGCTAATTTCTGCAGAGCCCAGCACGCTCCTGGAGGGTGTGTCCCCTTTCCACAGACAGCGTTCAGCAAACCTTGTGCCCACTAACACATTTTCCTTTGCAATGGGGGTGAGCTAAGAGTACACCTGGGCTGCAGCTCAGCAGAGAGGGGGCAATGGCTTCAGCCAGACCACTGAAGTAGGGCTGCATGCTTGAACACAAGCCGTGTGGCTTTTAAATATCAATTTTTCCATCAGCTGGAGAGAAAGTTTGGTCACCACTCGTGTCAGGCCAAAGAGCTTACAGAAAACAGTTCTCCTGCGTTTGCTGAGTGGCTTCACTAGGTTTGCCTGGGGATAGGTGAGGCCCTAATTTCACTCTGCCATTTGATTTCTAGTATGAAATGCTGTAGCGAGTAAAGATGTGGTGGGAAAATCCAATTTTCAGCTTCTTTCTCCAGACATTTTAATTCTCTTGCAGAGAATGGGTAACATTCATCTTCAGGCAACCCTACATAGCCTCATATATCCACAGCGATGTAAAAGTAACCACTACCTTGGCTAGGGCTGTCCCTCTGTCAAACCATTGGCATGAATTCAAGTTACAACCTTTGCCATGGATTTGTTGTTTTGTTTTTTTTTTTCCTCTTTGTCATAACTCACTGTTTTATTAAGGTGCAACTGCTGAGTTACTCTTACTAGTTGCACCTCCATCTATTATCACTTGAGACTAAAGAGAAGCCTTATAGTATCATCAAAATTACAGGAGAAAGGTGAAAAATAAAGATATGTATGTTCTCTGGTTTATTACAGCATCAGAACACTGTATTCCCTGAGGCTTTGGAATATGCCCGGAATAGATTACTGTTGAAACTGAAAACCGCTGAAGGGAAACTAGGGATTTTAATCAATCTGAGCAGACATTTATCGCTAGATGTGTTTCAAATCAACTGAGTCTCTTCCTTAAGCAACTGTGGTTATGACTAAAAGCTACAAAGGGAATAATGTAAAACATGAGAGGCTGAATTTACACTATATTTGAATATAATTTGATTTACATGTGTTTCCCTTTTATAGGTTTTATGACTAAATAGAACATTTAAAGAAGGTCTCATTTGATCATCCTTACAGAAAAGTATTAATCAAAAGTCAGAAAGCAAGTCATAGCGTAAAAGGATAAAGAAAATGGCACAACTAGCATGCTTTCAGAAGTTTTTTTACAAATCCAGACTGATTTCTATCTTTTCTCTCATTTCTGATATTCTCATGTAATTAAAAGTTTTGTTTCCAGTTTCTCTCAGTTGAAAAAAGCGTCACTCCAAATCTGTTGACTAATCAGAAGTTCCCACTTCAGGAAGCTCTGTCCAGTTATGCACTCTCCATAGATGATTTATTTTATAATCAAATAAATTTTCCTGTTTATCTAGACCTGCTCTTTTCATCACCAAAGCACCAGTGCTCCTGCTCTAAGTACATTGGAGAAGCATTTCAGGAAGGATCAGATCATTATTCTTTAAGTCCATGTAGAAGTCTGGGAAAAACTACTGGAGAAAAAACCCCACCTTGTTGTAGTTGAGCAGTATGTGGCTGAATGTGTGCATATCATGCACACCGGCTGTCTGCAGGAGAGCATATATGGGTTTTGTTCATTAGAGGGATTGAATAACAATTAGTCCAAACACTCAGGGCTTGAAACAAACTCCCTTGAATTTTACAGGAATTTTTCCAGTGATTACAGCTGTGTTTCACTAAGGCCTCTCTGGGGATTTTTTGGATCATTGGTTTGTGCTTAATTGTGGGGAACCCCTTTAGGAAAATAAACAAACAATATTTTGCTAGAAGAGAAAGTAATGCCTAGCAAAATACTGTTGCAATTGAACACAAACTGTGAACCAAATATTGACTCATTGAGAAAGGACAAGTGGGGAACCAAAATACAAATTTCCTGTAAATAAGCAACCTCAGATGCATAAAAACTGCACATTGTTTTGAAACTAAAGCTTCAATGTTTCCCTACGCTAAAACTGAAATTTAAAAGTAGGTTTTATTTCAGTGAGTCCTGAGCTGTCCCAAATTCTGTCTTCTCAAACTACAGCTATCAAAATATCAAACGGCTATGTCTGGTGGGGATGTCATCTGCTGTCTAAGCTCTCCTTTGGTTTTCCTCCTTTTGCCAGTTGAGAGGAGACAGATCTTTGGAAGTGGAGGAAATGGCTGTGAATGTTCAGAGACCATCCAGGAAATCAGTTACCAAGATGTTGTGTAAGTAGTAAGTACTTCTGTATTTTATTTACCATGGACGAGGGTGGTCAGGCCCTGAAGGGTATCAAGCAAATTCACTGGATACAAGAGTTATGAGATTACATGAGTAGCTGTGATCAAAAAAAAAAAAAAAAAGCTTATTGCTATTTTATCTGGACTTAGAGGTCATGGGAGTGAAACACCACGACTAACTATCAAAAGACTCAGAAGGCAAATTTTCCTCTCTGGCACGAGAGGAGTTAAGCAAACCTACGTGACAGATGCTTGCATGGCAACTCTAATATCCCTCACTCCAGACCTGATTCTTGCAGCCTTCTAGGGAGGATTCCTCTTTCTCAGAGTACAAATAGTCTATATTGCACATTTTTAAAGAATGTTTTGCATCACACCACAAGCTCTGCTCATGAACAGGAAGGTCCAGCCAAACCACTTACATCACCTGCTGATTTAACCACTTAGACCTTCCCAAGAAAAAGTAGAACCTAGGCAGACTTGCACATTTGATAGCATTCAGTAGAATCTGTGCTCCAATCACCCTGAAAGCACTCACATCACTTCCCAATTTAAAGCTGTCTTTAAGGTAAAGATCACCTTGCTGCTGAGATGGTGTTTACGCAGGAAGAATAAATCACCTTCAATATTTCCCACAAAAACATTATTCTTTTAGGCACCATCTGAACTAGGAAATCGTACTTTGAATTCAGCCTGATTTTCAGTGCCCAATGACTATGACGACAGATAGGACCCAAGTCTGGAACAGTTTTGCAAGAGTCCTTCCAGAGCCAGCACAGGACAAGTTGTTCATGGAGGCAAAGTCTTTTTCTTCCATGCTGAGCAGTGCACCCAGACACACATCAGCACACATGGTTCCTATGGCCTGTTCCTGCTGTGTGATGCACAAAGAGTATGCAGAGGAAGTTAACCCCAAGGCACAATGCAGTCAGTGTGTCCCAGGTACCCCAGATGAATCCAGATGTCTCACTGGCAGTTTCTTCATTAGGCTCTGTACACACTAAGACATTACCTGTCTGTTGTCTGATCTGTTTGAATGACATTGTGTGTGTGCGTGTATTGAGTTATACAATGTACCAATCAGTGGAAAGTTTGTTCTTTTAGCTGGTAATTGCAAGACAGAAAGTATGACAAAAGATTTGAAACAATGAATAAAATTTGTATAGTTAGTCTTCCACCCAGCTTTCTGAACTATGTCTAGCCTGTGCAGGCTAGTGAACCACATCCCTCCATAATTTACTTGGTTTTCTTCTCCCTTTTCTCCATGCTAGTTGTCCTCGTGATGGTTTTTGCTGTCTGCTGGGCTCCATTCCATATAGATCGACTTTTCTTCAGCTTTGTTGTGGAATGGACTGAGCCCTTGGCTAATATATTCAACCTGATTCATGTGGTGTCAGGTAAAGCTTTCTTCTTCCACTTGGACAAGGACTGGCAAAAAAAAAAAAAAAAAAGTATTTGTGAGTGGTTTACTTGAAATATGTAGTCATTTATTTTGTAAGTGACGTGAGACATGCATGGAAAATCTTCTTGCAGTTTGGTGGAAAGTGATGAGAATCATGCCTGAAATAAAAGCTGTATGCAAGTTTCTGCAGCTTTCAAGATCTAGGCATATTGTCCAATACAGTTGTCTGAATACTCACAAAGAAGGGAAGAAAAAAAAAAAAAAAGTATTTGTGAGTGGTTTTCATGCATCATTACCAGCTGCTTTTCCTTCTTAGGAATGTTCCAAAATGAAGTCTGCTGTCATTCAGCTGCTTTTAATGAACACACAGCAGCAGGCATCATCCTCCAGAGGGTCTCTGAGACATATAGGAAGCCTGACCAAATGTCAAGACAAAAGTCTTACATACTGCTCAGAACTGGGTGATAAACCCAAAATGTTTATGCCAACCTGCCAACCATAAAATGAAGGCTTTTTCAAAGAGGAATCTTATTTTCAGTCTGCCATGGGAAAACACTGAATGTGGCCATTAGGCAGCTCAGACAAATCCAATCTCATGCAATTGTCCTGGTGTGTTGTAAGAAATGAGCTCTCCTCAGCTGGAAGTTATCCTCTGACAGCTTTGATGGGGTACCAGCTGTGCAAATCCTGCTGTGGGGATGAGGGCTGTGCTGGAGGCAGGTCACTACAGCTCAAGAGAGAGCTGGTTCCTGAACAGCTGGAGACAGTGAGCTCCAGTTAATACTCTCTCTCACTTTCCTTTCCCTCTCTCCTGCTGTGCCTGAGCTAGCTTTGGCAAGACATCCCTCTGCCTGGATGGTAGCAGGGCAGAGATGTGCTGTTGCTTCTTCCACCCTTGCACCCAAGTTTGGTGGAGCACTATAGGCAATTAAAAGATTTGTCCTCTTCTGAGATCATCCTACACAAAAATTGTCTTTCTCTCCCCCACCCTTGTTCTCCTAGGTGTTTTATTCTATCTGAGCTCTGCCGTGAACCCTATAATTTACAATCTGTTGTCCCAGCGCTTCAGGATGGCTTTCCTCAGTGTTATCTCTCCTTGCTGCAAGCACTGGGCCCCTAACCATCCCACCAGCAGGATTCCTGCCCAGCAAAGCATCTTCGTGGTTGAGGACCACAACCTTGTGGACTCTGCTGAAGACACAAGTCTCCCTGGCACCCACAGGACATCTGTCAGCAGTTCTCAGCTCTCCACTGGTCTGTGACTTTCCATGTTGTAATCCAGGTGAGAAAAAAGCTAAAGAAAAGCTAAAGAAACAAAAAGAGAAAAGACCCTCCTAAAGGGTGGGTCAGTGATTTCGGCAAGAAGAGCTCACAGACATGTCTTTTTGAATGAATGAAGGATGAGACAGTAATTAGCAGGTGGTTGAAAAGTATTGTTTTACTCTCAAATTAATAGGAGGGCTGGAAATCTCAGCTTACTGGCTGCAAGCTATACCAGCAAAGAGCTGCTTTACAAAAATGAGACCCACTCCCAGTATTACCAGCACAGGAGAGAGACACAGCTTACCCAAGTCTTACCAAAGGGCTTTTTGTGCACCAGTCTGAACTTCAGCTTATTTATTTTGAAATAGGGCAACTTGTTGCACAAGCTTTGTCTACCCACTTCTAGCTTTAGGCAATCCAGTCTCACTTCTCTCCCCTGCAATCTTCTCAGGCCTCTCTTGGCAACATAAGCAAGTAGGCGTGAACAAGAGCAGCTCTGAGCTGGGCTAATGGACATCAGACACCAGCAGTAGCTATTTTTCTGGGTCAGAAGAACTAGGGATCCGATAATTATGAAAAGCAAACTTGCTTTCTGAGCTAGGTGAAGATTTGAGTGGGGGTACTGATTAATGCCTTGAGTCACTTTGTCAAAAAACCTACCCCTTAGTGAGTGATTTTTAACAAGTCCCAACATTACTCCATATCTCCTCATACTAATGTCTGACAATATCTACACAGTGCTGAAATGGCACGTGCATGCCACAAATCCATCTACAACACCTGGGAAATAGCCACTGCTGGGAGCTGAGGATGTTTCTGGTGTGACACCCTTGCCCCAAACTCAGCTAAGTAGGGGATATCTGCCCATAGAATGTGGAGTGTTTGCAGTCTTTGCAGGCTTACCCTTTGAATTGGACAGTTTCACTTTTGTCCATCTGCCTGGACTGAGCCTGACCATGTACAAATGGACTGTGGTAGGTCTCTGCTATTCCCCATGTCCTGCAGCTTGCAACAGCTTTTTGCCATTGCTTGAACTTCAGATACTTACGTGTTGTCTCTGCCAGTGAAGCCCTGCGATCATACTTCAGTAGACTTCACACCTGCCCATACCAGGTGGACTGCAGAAGTCAGAGACCTACATGGTGTTAGCAACCACCAGGAACGAGGCTGGAAACTATTCACAATGGAATTGAGAGAAACCTGCAGGATCGAAGAAGCTGATAGGCAATGAAAAAGAGACTTTCTCAGTGAATTTGCATCTGCTGAATTCAGATTTTGGCACAAACAACAATATAAGGTCTGGGAAAATGTCCCACATCCCAGTCATGCAAATGGATCCTGAAGACAGCACACTTACATCCAAGTTGATGAGTTCCTGAGCCCATCTGCAAGGTCTGGACCCTACGGAGTTTTGTAAAGGGAGAACAGAGTGAATCCATTACATGTCAGAGAATTTTATATATCTCTGTGTCCCAGGTTTCAAAGCCCACTTGTGTTTCAGAGAACTGCCTCCCTTGTGCCTCACGACGCAGGGCTGGGTTTAGCTACCACATGGGGCTCAGGCTTGGCACACGCTGCCACAGAAAATCACCCAGTGTGTGTCATCAAGGGCCTGGGACTTACATAGTCAGAGTACACAGAGCTGCCATAGTGAATAAGAATGTTGGTTCCTGAAAGATGAGATACTGTGTGCATAAAAGCTTATTCCAGTCTGGTCACTGGGGATCCAGATGACGTTTCCCACCATAGGAGGAAGGGGTTATATTCCTGCTACAATGGGCTTTTACCTTGTCGTTCCCAAAGTCTTCTGGTTTGCCTCTTGCTGTGGGACTCGTAGGCGAGGCAAGACCAGGGGGGCTCATGACAGCTGGGGAGTCACCCTTTACTGCAGCACAAGGGGAATTTCAGCCCATGTTTTTTTGCCAGACACATTTTACCAGCTGCAACACTGAGAAAAAAGCCATGAGGAGAGCAACAGATACACACAAGGCCCTGGAGAGAAAAGGCAATTCCTGATCCCTGAAGACACAACTGAAATACTTTGCCACCCCCAAGTGGTCACTTGAGATTTATCAGTGACACATTCCTAACCAGGTTTGTTCTTGTTTTTCCCTCCAGCAGACATTAAAGTATGTTTTCCCTCCGGATTAGCTGTGCCGGTAATGACTTGCTGTCTGCGAGCTGCTCAGGTCCCTGCTCTCGCACCCTGTGTAGGACACTGAGCTCTGTGTCCCAGCTAAGGGCTGGGCACTGCCCGGGCAGAGATTTCTTCCCTCACCTTGTGCCTCACTTGTGCAACTCCCTAACTGAGCTCAGGGGGTTACCCTCTTTATCCCAGCTGTGTGCCAATGGAAGAAGGTCATACGGTTAGTTTGACACACTCACACATCCACCGTATGATGGAGACACCCCTCTGCATGGTTTTGTGGTTCTTTGAATGCATTTTATACAGTTAGGATCAGACAGCATCTTGTGCTGGTGCAGACAGAGCCATCCATGGGTGATGTCGCTCTCTTCTCCTCCCTTCATGAGAGAATTGCAACCTTGGCAGCAAAGCTGGAGTTGTTCAATGCATCTCTTGGCTTGCAGATGAGCACACAGACTTGCACTCAAGGTTGGGGTGTGAAGCTGTAGGCTGAAGATTTTGTGTGATCTTAAACAAAATGGCCAAATTTTTGTTCCTAGGGAAGACAAAGTGTTTTCTGAGGAAGGCAAAGTGGTGGAGGGAAAAAGTATGCATGGATGGGGAAATTTTAGAAGAGAAATAGTGACCAGGAATGACCAGGAACTAGTCTCCAGTTCTGAACTAACAAAATTTTTTGTCTTAAGAGCAGTTTTTCTCACATCTAATTTGGCATCAGTCAAAAGAAGTGGCACTCATAACCAAAAATTACTGGGCTTTTTTTGGTCAAACATCAAAAGCAAAGCTGAAAAAATTTATTCTTGCACCAAGTCATACCTTTTGTGAAAGTGTTATCGGGGGAGACATGTCAAAATTCTTCTAAATTCTGTTAAAAATAAAATAAATGCAGTGAAACAAATGTGGGCTGGCTTGAGGTTGGGTACTCTGAGTTAAGTTCCCTGTGACAGCCCAGCTCAGGACCCCCTCGTTCCTGAGGAGGAATCGCCAGAAAGTAGTCACTGTCCACTGGATGCTTTTCTTCCCAAAAGGTCAGTGCTTGAGTTATTTATCCCTCTGCTCTGATATTTACCTGGCTGAATGTTGGGAGCTGGATCCAAACATGAAAATACAAGGAAGATGAATAGAGATGTCATGAGAGCCAATGATATTCCTTTATTTGTACATTTAGCAGCTTTCATAGCCAAGCGCTGAAAAACGTTGGCAACCGGCTGAGAAAAACTCCTGTTGCAAGAAAACAGAACAGCTCATTTTCCCCCAAAGTGGTCTCGTGTGATAAAAATATATTCATTTGAAATCAAGCATGACTTCCTAGACAGAACTGTCTATTGATTTATTTCTCTGCTTCTGTTTCCTTCTGGGAAACATGCAAGTGTGTGAGCAGAATGTGTGGAGAGCAGGGGCAATGCCCCAGCACTGTGAACAGAACACGGACAGTTTGAAATGTGCTGCAAGGAAGCACTTAAAGGAGAGAAGAATTGTTTGCATTGCCAATGAGTGATACTCAGATCTAATCCCAGGGTAAGTATTGGAAAAAACATCATGACAGCAAGTGGACAATTCTGTTACGTTTATATGATGAAGTTTTGGACAGTGCTGTGTTTTGAAGTGTTTAAACCATGGCTTATCAGCAAAATTAAACATACACTTAGCTGCAGAGCTGGTTATATGTATCTGTGTGTAACATGAAAATAAATATATTAGAGTGTCTCTTCCTATGTCTGGTCCATCCTCCAGCAACCTTTGTGTTTTCTGTTTCTCCTTCTTATGTCACATGAATAGCAGAAGATGGAGATTCCCTGGATATTCAGCCAACACCAAGTGCAGTACACTAAGGACTTACTACACATCACAGTACTTTTTTTTTTTTTTTAAAAAAAAAAAAAAAAAAAAAAAAAAAAAAAAAAAGCAGATTAACTCAGCTGGTATATATGCATGAAAATACAGCACTAACCCCAGTGTGGTTTGTTGCATCCAAGTGCTGTGCAAGAGTGCTTCTTCAGGGGAGGAGGTTAAAAACTGGGCAGCACGGGTTGTCATAACCAGGAGAAGATCCCAAAGCAAAAAGTGCTGCTTCCCAGTCTGCGTAACAGCCACATCTGCTCTCCCTCCCTGTTTTCCTGCAGTCTTTTGCCTCATTTTCTCTGCTGTTCATTATGATACTTGCTAGGTTTTTCCCCACTGAGGTTTCTTGTTCTACAGACTAACAAATCTATAGCAAATTGCTGAGCTGTAGCATTTCCATATCAAATGGATATTAAAGTAAGGAAAAATATGGTAATTAAAACAGAATAATAATCTGGACTTCTTTCTATAATAAGCTGTGGAATAATAAGGGGAAAGGACAAGAAATCAAACAACCAGGAACTCTTGCAAGGATTAAATGCTGGTTTTTAAATTTGGTCCAAGCTGATGCAATGGTGGCAAACGTTCTTCAGAATGAGCTGGGGGATAAAAGAGTTTAAAAAGAAACAGCAGAGAATTGCCCAGTCTGGGCCTTGCAGATCTCCCTGCTCAGGGAAATAAACACTTCTGAAGTTGTTAGGTTAGATCACAAGCCATAAGGGCTCATGCACCAAAAGACAGTGACCGTCTTGCGCATGGTTCAGGGCTGGTTTCCCTGACTTCAAAAAAGTAATTTGCCATGTGTAAAATAAGCATGGGCCGTAATGTAAGTACCTCACCTGGAGGCTGCTGATTTTCTTCCACACTTCTTTCCATTTCACATTTTGGCTAGTCAACAGCCTGCTTTGGTCACACCCCAGACACAGAGGCAGAGCTAAGCTCACTTGCCACCAGAAGTAAAAGACCTTCTGTTACTGTGTAGACTTTGTGAAAAGTTGCAGCTGTTGTTTTAAAGGCAAATTATCTTAAATCCACGTAATTTTTAAAGAAGATTTAATTTTAGGAGTATGGGAGCTGTTGGAATAATTTGCTTCCCACTAGGATAGCCAATTCATGAATGAAATACAGAAGTCTATTGTAAAAGCCCAAATAACTTTCAGCTTATGCTATGTTGTGAAATGCAGTAAAGTTCCTTCTCAGAGGAAAAGGCTTTTGTCTGCTTTTTTTGACTAGGAGTGGGTTTTTCAAAAGACCCTTAGACCCAAATGTCTACAACATGAAGAGCTCCATCAGAGGAAATCTAGCTTCCTTTTATAGCTGAAGGGGGGAAAAAAAGCTGTGCTAAAATCAATTTATCTGACCTATTTCAGTCATCTACCTTAGGTGTTTTACAGGTACTTTTTATGCATATCTTCTACAACTGAAAAACAAAGCTAGGTAGCTAGGTACAGGTCGTCTTGAAATACTGTCTGTTCTTTGTTGCAGAGCAGGTATGTTTGTCAGTCCCTTTCAATTCCTTCATTTCTTTAGAACCCAGGAGACCCCCCCTTTAGAAATGACTCAGTAGGAACATCATGCTCCAAGTGAGCAACACAAATAGCTAACAACTATAACTCACCACAAAACACTTGGAGAACAGCATCCTCAGGGGCTCACCTACCATTTTGTTCTGGGGCTGGTGCCTCTGCGACACCTGGACAATGCTCTCACAAGCTGGGGAAATTCAGACAAAGCTCTGCCACTTGTGGGGTTGGCAGCATTTGTTTACAAGCTTGCGGTTTACCTTCCCTTACTTCTACAGGAGCTGGTGAGGGCAGGAAAGATATTTGTCCTGCCACAGAATGTGCTAAATAGCTGCCTAAACTCAATGGAAGGGCTCCAAAGGGAAGTATTTTCATGCTGCTGTGACTGCAGTGCAGGTGGGTTGGGCAGCACTGAGCAACTGCAGCAAAACAACGACAAGCATCACAGTTTGGGGAAATAGAACTCCCCAGCTTTTCCATGAGGAAGGAAATAAAACACTAACACAGGAACTTGGAGGTATAGATATTGTTTATTTAACCACGTACAGACTGGAGTTTCTGTGAGCTGGCTTGGTGCTAGGGGAATACTACACGCAGAGGGGTTTTCTGAATGTGAATGAACCTGGTTAATACCACAAACCCCAGCTTCCCCCAAGCCCTGCACCACTGTTTCCTCCCAGCTCAAGTTACCTGCTCCTGCAGAAAAACAGACCACAGACACAGCAACGCATAAAAATTTACATTACAGTAGCGAAGACAGGACCCTCCACTGGGACTGAGACACACAGAGCACACGGTGGGGTAACAAGGACCGTTCCTTAGCTGGTTCACAGTACCCATCTATTTCCATGCTCTCAGCCTAAAGTAATGCAAATCAGTTTGTGTTCCTGCATACAATGAAGATGAAGAGGCAGTTGACATCAGTCCACTTGCATCTAGTTTGCTTATGTATCTCAGCCCCCAGACAAGGAGCCGAGTTGTGTGGAGCTCTCTCTTTCTGCATATAACAAGAAACAGTCCCAGAGCTGGGACTCATGGCAACCTCCCAATTCCCAGTAAACCTGCTACGTTACTCCAAGAGGCAGCAATGACTGCCACACATGATCCAGCCTCAGCACTCTCCACTTTTTTACTGTGTCTCTCGCACTGACAACAAGGAGCACTCATACATTAGCCTCAGTCTGGCTGCTTCAGGTCTCATTTCTTCCCCTCTCTCCCCTCCCATAAGGAACAGGTATAGCGAAGAATCATCTCTCCTCCCCATCCACCCTTGTCTTTTCACTGCTGAGAAATTCCACTGAGGATTGAGTCTTTTCCCTGCAACTTTATTTGCCAGCTGTAGGGTTTTCACGTCGTATTTGTATTCCAGTCCCGATTTCAATTACCTGGCTAACCTTTTCAATTTTCACAGAGAGTGAGAATCAGAAAATAGCAGGTCCTTTATTACATCTTACACTGACGGGGAATGCTTCACCCTCCTCCCCCCCTATATTTGCAGGAAAGCTCTGTCAAATTCAAACAAACTCATTGATCATAACTTGCCTATTTACTTATGCTTTGCTGACTGTTAAGTATTCTGGTCCTTTCTGCAGACCTGTTTTCCATCCTCCTTTTGGATTGAACGTGCTACTTTTTATATCATTTCTAAAAGCCGTGGAGAAACAGTCTTAAGTCTTCACTCCGGCGCTTGACTGCAGTGAGAGCTCTCACCAGAGTCAGATACTGGAGAAGGTAAAAGCCTTGTGCTTCGAGAGGGGCTATTTGCTGATCTTTGATAAGAAGACATAGTGGTAGCCAGTCCCAGAGCACTTCCCAGGGGAGTCTCAGAGCACTAAAAGGGTTCCCTCAGACCAGGAATGCAAGTCAGGCACAGGACATCACCCTGCTGATCCCAAAGCCACTGCTCTGCCACTGTACTGGCCACAGTTGCCACCTGCAAAAGAAAACACTTTCCTCTCTCTTTTTGGCTTTCTTGGTTCTCCAAGTCATCATTCTCCTAACTCCTTCATTCTTTAGAACTCTTGATACTGCAGTCATTTCCCTGCCTGTCCTCTGTCTGCCCCATCACTCAACCATCCTAAAAATGGTTTATTTGATTGGGGGGGCAGGAATTTAGTGCAATAGATCTGTTTCTTAGCAACTTCTTCTCCTCTTTCTTACTTTTCTTCTGTTATTTCCAGCTCATTATCTTTGTCCATGTTCAACTCCAAATTAACTTAATTACAGACAGATTTCATATGTCTCTACACTAGAAGGGGCACTTGTAAAACATCCCTCCAGTCAATAGTAAATGAGGGCCTTGGTCTATGTTAAGTAGGCTCTGGGAAGGGCAGCCCAGCTGTGTCTGTCCTGCTCCCTCCAGAGACCTCTCTCAATTGCTCGGAGCTTCTGCTGTTCCTCTGAGCTGCTTTTAAGTGAGGCATTTCAGCTATCCGTTTTACAGCCTACTCAAGTTCATCACAACCACTGAGCTCCATAGTAGACATCTCTGTAAACTGACAGGTGAACGCTTCTCTCCTGCAGATGCCAAGGGCACTGAGATCTTTCCACCATATTCAGATAGGTGGAAAGTGCCTGGGTTCAAAGTCTGTGCCTATTGGAATCTGCCATGGCTGCAAATCTGAGCTAAACCCGACTCATAGTGGGTATGAACACTGGATGTACTCAGTCCAGGCTGACCTCCTATTACTGGTACATTTGGTAGGACAAAGATCTCTCTTGATTAATGCAGCTCTGGTTGCCTAAAACCCATATACTGATGACAGCTCTCGCCTCAAAAATCTCCCTCCGAGATAAAAACACACTAAGTGGACTAAATGCAGGGCAGCCCCTCATACCTCACCCTCTCCCTAGCTGGTGATAACAGCTTTTCTTGGGAAAAAAAGGAGCAGGATCTATCTCCAGCAGTTGATGGGCTTCCCACCTTCTAGTAGGTAAGGTTGCACTGCTGTAGCTTACCGTTCACTAAAGTTCTCCACTGGCAGAAGAAATTTTTTTCTTCTTTCTGCTGGAGCTCAAATAACTATTACCCAGCCAGGGCAACTCTTCCTAAGTGTATCAAATTTTGTCATGGTGTCAGTGATTCCTCACTGGTAGGAACAGGATGCTGCTTTGAGAAGAATGAAGAGAGATCTGAATTCATACAGTGAGGGAAGAGCTGTGACATAGAAACCAACAGACTTGTGTTGAGGGCATGTGAAATACTATGAAGCCATTTAACGGTGTAGAGAAGGGAGAAAAAACCTCCCACCAGAGACATAAAAGGCAGGGAGGGTTTTGTGGCAGTTATAAGAGGAATCAGAGAGCTGTAGTTCTACTGTTAGAAGATGACACCTGGGAAAGGTCTCTGGGAAAGGAGAACTCTGCTGATTCTTTATGCAAGATGGTTCCTCCTCATTTAGATAAGCACTTCTGTCCAGCTCTTTGCTACCCTGGAAAGTGGTACCACAGGTTAAACTGGAATGTGTCCCCTCATCCTACAAAGGTAGAGTTGCAAATCATGCACATATACTTGAGTTAACTAACTTAAACCCTGGTAGCAGTGCAGCTGGAAAACAAGCCTTCCTGAGGCTCTGCTGACTGAGCAATGCAGTTTATGGGAACACCACAAAATACTGTGAGGAGACTATACCACCTGAACTGCAGTCAGGTCCTTGCCCTTAGTCCTGGATAGACTCTCATTCAGAATTAAACTCTTTCTGCCCCAAAAGCTTCAGGCTCTTCCCTTTCTCTGTTGCCCCTTGCTTGTCATCACTTTGCTGTGTCCCTCTCTGCTCTGTAGGGAGACAGGTCATAGGTAGGATAATTCCTCCCTGCTTCACTAAGACATTTTCAGAGTTACCTATCTCAGTGTAACCACGTTGCATCTATCATCTCAGCAGGAGACTGTTCCTAAGGTCTGTTTTTAGACCAAAAAGGCCTGAAGAAGCCAAGGAGCAAATATCTGCCCTGAAATCTGAACGTGTGGCCTCTGAAGATCATTTGTACGCATCTTCCCCAGACTTACAGACCAACGACACTAGTCAGTGTCCACTGGAGGTCAGTCTTGTGCCATGAAAACCTGTGTGGGGAGCCAGGTAGTGGGGTGCTCTGTGGTGTCCAGCAGCCCTGGGCTCTAGGCCGGCGTGTGCAGTGCACAAGATGCCCCAAGAGAGAATCTGTTCCAGTTCCCTCAGTGTTGATTTATGATTTAGAGATTTTTCATGGTTTTATTTCTTTTTTTCCTTGCTCAAAAGTATCCAGGGGTCTGTTGCTGAAGAAGCTTAGCAAGGGAGATGCTGTTCAATCAGCAGAGTGCAGGATCACAGAAAACCAGGATGCTCCACAGGTCCAAGCAAATGTGTGTGGTGGCACCACATAGCTGGTGAGTCAGGCTGGGCCTGCTCATCCAAGCTGACCTGAAAAATATGCTTGTTTCAGGGCAATTCTTAGTCTTTTGGTTTTGTTTCACAGGGGAGTGGCATCATTAATTATTTACAGATTGCACCCTTTGGATGAGAGATCAGGATATTGATGCATGACCAACACAAGTAGAAGTCCAGATACACTAAATCAGAGCCAAATTCCTTGCCAGTGTGCCAATAATTCAGTTTTTCTACATTGAATCCTACCTCCTACCACTCCGCCTATGAGACTCTCCAAGAGGGGCTCAACAAGTATTGATGGGAAACAATATCCTTCAGCTAAACATTTTGATAAAACAGGGGTTTTTCCCCTGAAGAAAAAAAATCTGTGATTTTATGCAGGATCCCACAGGTGCCAGTGCAAACTCCACTCTGACTCTGCCAAGTGAAGTCAGCTCTTGGCAACTTACACATCTATATAAAAAATACGCATCAGTATGACTTACATAGAAAATGGAGATTGAAGTGCTCAGTTGCGATCTTCTCAGGTTACTATTCCACACTTCAGTCTGTAGGCCCAGGTATTCCTTATTTCACCTTCATTGTGACTTAATTTTTCTCTCTAGATCAAGGATGGCAGACGTGTCCTATGCTCTGCCTCCAGTCAGGCCACATCTGAAGTGCAGGATACGTATCATTCACACAAATTCACTGATGCTCCAGACTCAAATGACAGCCAGCATTGAATAAACCCTCTGCTGGCCCCTTCTACAAGAAACCTTAAGTATCTATTTCCTCTGCTTTGCTGTAATAGATAAAGAGCCGATCATGTTCTGCTATTTTTCTACCACAACAATAGAACTACGGGTCCCCACCGTTGGCTTCATTCCTATGAATGATCAGTTATCCTTTGGTGTTAAATAAACGGCAATTATACACTCTAAACCAGAGAATCCCACAGGTCAAGGCACCTCTGATCTCTTACCTCTTATTCCCACCAGTATTCCTGTCTGCATGTCCTTGTGCACGTCACATCTTTCCAGCAAGAGAAAGGCAGTCTCCATCTCTCTGTCCTTCTCCGCCGGTACTCACCTCCTGCCTCAAGGAACAGCAAAGTTTTTTCTGAAGCCAGACAGTTCTTAAAAGGGACTGGAACAGATGGAAAAAGGAGACAGGGTGGGGCCACTGCAATAACTCAGTAAAATTGGCTCTCCATAATTTGGAAACAAGCCCACAGTATGGCCATGGCACTGGAGTCATTACTTGGAAGATGTGACCCTAACTAGCCCAGGAGCTTGGCAGCCCAGTGATGACACAGACAGTCAGAAACCAGGCAAGCAATGGGGTAGGAACAGAGACAAGACAACTGCTGCTTTTGGCAGAGCCCATTTTTGTATCAGACATCCCTGCAGCAGCCTTCGGGTGCTGCCATCTTGCTGCATATTGCAAAATGTTAGGAGCACAGGATGAACTGTGCTCAGTATGACCTATACTGGCAAATTACATACCAATGTGCTTAGGTCAAGGGGACCCTTGCATCCTTTGCTTTGCATATTAATCAGCTTTGCATGTAGGGATGAAACAAGGTTAGTGTCATTTTGCCCTCAGGATTCACCACTGGTCCTTCCTCCTCTCAGAAGTCAGACATTTTCATTCCTTTTTGTGTTTTAGGGTTCTTTTTGTTGTTTTGGTGTTTGTTTGTTTTGTTTTGTTTTGTTTTTCCCCTCTCATATTTTGCTGTAATGTCTGTGATATTTATTACAGCAGGAAACATAACATATCTTCACCTGGCTGTTTGAGAGCTTTGCAACTGATGGTCCATTACCACTTTCTTATGGGGTCTTTATTTTCTTATGAACATTTCATACTTCACAGATGGAACCGATCCACTTACCTCTATCAATAAATCACAGTAGCTTAAGCCTCAGTTTATTGCCAGGCTAGTCCAACTGTGGAACCTAGTAAGCATGCTGAAAACAAAAGGTTTGAACCATTAACATGTTTAGCTGTCCATATTTAAAGAAGGATTGGAAGGAAAGGCAGAGTTTAGAAAGCATGTAGGTAAAAAATAGCTGTATGGAAGGAGGGCAGCTGCTAGTCTCTGTGAGCAGGACCCAACTTCATACATCTTGGCTTGTTCAGTCCATTGATTTGCCCAGCAAAGATTCGCCCAGCCTTCCTAGGACTCTCTCTCTCTCTCTCTCTCTCCCTCTACCATACCGCAGCTGCCCTTGCTCTCCAATGCTGCAGGTCCTGTTCATGACCTAGTGACAAAATTGTGCCCTGGGTACAACGGGATAAAGAAATCCCTTTCCTGAAACACTGAGGGATACTGGTGTGTCACTCCTCAGTGATGCTCTGAGGAAAATAGTGTTTGTTTTAGAAATGCTAAACCAAAAGGGTTTATGGATATTGAGGGGGCTTTGTTAGTTTGATTCTGGCAGAAGCAGCTTTTCAATCCATTTATCAAGCTGCCTGCTGCTCCCATTTCAAGGCTGATGAAGCTATAACAAACAGTGAGCCAAAAAAAAAACCCAACCCACAAAAGTCTTTTGAAAGGTGTATGAAGCAGTTTAATAAATAAAAGAAGGTTGGGGGAAAAAAAAAGAAAAATCATCAGTGCAAGGTTTGGCTTGCCTCTGTTGTTCATTTTATAGCATAAATTTAAATAAATGAATGAAGCGTGTTGGTGAAATCACTCTTTCATTCTCTAAAAAGTCCTGCCTGTGAATTCATCTTTCTACAATAGCTCTTGTCTTGCCAGCTACCCTCCAAATTGCCCTTCAAATTGCCACTTTTAAATTTATAAGCATATCCTTCAGGCTCTGCAGAATCCCTGAGTTTCTCTGAAAAAGTACATGCATTCCTGATGGATGAAAACTCTTTATGGAAACTCCAGTGCAATAAACCTCATCCCTTCCCGCTGCCCACAGAAGACCTTGGAGTTTGTCCCAAGCTTTTGTCTTCTACAGAGGAGACATTCCTCCTGGAAGCTCCCGGGAGGTCTCAGTCCCATATTAACTATCAGTTTTTTCTCTGGGCACGAGGGCAGCCTTTGCTCACCCTGGGGTTAAGCCTCATGTGCCATGTGCTCTTTTCTATTTGGATTCACAGATATCTGGCAATCTGGGAAACTTCTTCAGGAGTTTTGTGCCATTGATCTCTGGGATATGGCATGGAAGTTATTGCATTTCTTTCCAGATCATTTTGGTTATCAAGGCTGTCAGACATTCAGACTGGGTGTCCAGATGTGAGTTTCAACACTTCTTCCAGAAGCTGTCACCATGTTTCATTAAATCGCAGGAACTCTTCTTTGGGTCTGATTCTTTCTTCAGTTGATTTGGGTTAAGGCTCATGAACTTCAGCAGATAGCATTCAGATCCTGTTAGCAATAGAGAGAACAAAGAGGGAAGTGAAGACAGAAAAAAACATGGAAAGATGAGAAGTGGTGAAAGAATCAGAGAGGAGTGAGGGAAAAAAAGACAAACCCAGAGGAAGAGAGACAGGAATTGAAGGGGGTGGGGGTGGGAATTAATAAAGAAATGTAATGCAAATAAGGATGAAAAAGGAGAGGATAATGGGAAGGGGAAGGAAAGGGGAAGGCATTAAAAAGGCCCAGAAATACGCATAAAGAATAATCCACACTGGTTTTCACTAATGCTTCAGCAGATGAAAATGGCATCAACAATAACAGAACCTCTGAGCTGCAGAACAATAGGTGAAATAATTCAAGCACCACTTTCAGATTAAAAAACAGTGAAGGGAGTTTGATTTCTTTCCCACTTTTTCTTTTCCTTCTATATATATAGAAAATAACCTCATCCAATTACTCACATACTGTGGCTCATCACCACAAAAGTATAAATAAAAGAATGAAACCACCCTTCAGTGCAGACAGAAAATAAATCAGTGCTTTCTCATTGTTGCAGTTGGGTCCTGTCTTCACATTTATTTATTTTTAAATTTTCCCTCCCTCCTTGCTCTCTAGAGACAATATCCCATAAAACATTGGGTTATCAAGTTAACTGTGAATAATTCATGAGATAATTATAAAACATTTACACCAGAACATTATTATCTTGCAACTAAAAAACCCCAAATACTTAATGTCCTCCAACACTGATGGCAAACCTCTTGTGACTCAATGTTGTTTATAGTTAAAATTAAATGGAATTAATCTTCAGTACTGCTTTTGGGCCTACTAGCCCAGAATCACAGAAAAAACACCCTCAGATAATATGGAAACACAAATATATATATATATGTGTGTGTGTGTGTGTGTGTGTGTGTGTTTATGCAAACACATACCTATGGTATTCTGACACATGCCCACAGAGGAGAATCTATTTCAGTCTTTCAACCCCAAACAGACCCTGAGGCATAAGGGACATGAGCTTTTATGCTCAAGGGATGGATTCAGTGCATGCTGGCGGGTTGTTTTGGTCCACACAGGCCCACTCGCACGCAGCTTTAGGCACAAATATCTATCTAGACTGAAGAGACAGAGCCGTGCATGTAGTGAGAAGTTGTTGTGACTCATGGAGACAGACTGTCTCTCACAAGCACAAACATAAGCACACGTGAAGAAAACACACACAGACCTGCAGCACTCTGGGCCACACACTGAGGGACTGTGGTAGGATACACGGTTTTCCTCCTCATACCCTTCCACTGCAAAGAATACATTTTGTCCCTCCACCCAGAAGGGCATCTTTGGTCAGATTCTGTTCTCATTACTGCGGCCTAGAGCTTACTTGGAAATGAATATAGTAATAAATTTCAGTTTTACACTAGTGTCATCAAAATCAGGATTAGACCTTGTATATGCATCCAAAATTAAGACTGCCATATATGGCTATAAAGGCTCCTGCAAAAGCATCGCTGATAATGCAAATCTCTACAACAACAAGCATGACTGGCCATTGGAACTTCTGCAGCCTGGATAACAGCTCCTCTGTCACCTTACATCTGCACACGAGGTCAGAGGAGCGTCTAGAAAAATTCACAAGGCCACGCCTTCACTATGTGCTGGTGATCCCCAGTTGCCGCAATTCTCCTGAGGGCTTCAACAGGCATATACAGGAAAACGTCAAAAAGGTTCTTGCTTAGGCTACAAAAACTGCCAGCCTGTTGCTAGAGAGACCCAGGCTTTTCGGCAATTACTCTCCTCTCCCTCAAGAACACAGGAAAATAGAGCATGACTAAAACAAAAGACAATAGTTTCTGTAAATGTGCGCTGACATGCTCCCAGAAAACAGAAAGCCAGCAAACCTTAGGCTGGCACAGGTAACATCTAGCTATAATCCCTGGGGTAACCCAGGGTAGAAGAACCACCGCCCTCCAGGCAAATGCAGGAAAGAATAAATCTTTTGTGTTATCCTTTCCCCCTCTTGCCCTCTTTGAATGCAGTTGTTCCACATAGAAAATGGTTTGTGATTTCTCACAAGCACGTCTGCACCCAGACCAATATGGTTAATGCTCTTCGGCACAGAAGTCCAAGGGCTCCTCTTCCTCTCAGCAGCTATCAAGAGGCCACATTAGGCAACGCAACAGCTACACCTGCTGTACAGCCAAGAACAGCCCTTGGAGTGCTGGAAGCATGCTGCACATCCTGAACGGGTGAACACGTCCCAGGAGATTTGTCACTAAGCTCATGGTAAATAAAACTACCCGGAGCCTGAGTCATTACCGTTTGATTAACCACACGCATCTTTGTAGAAGGATTAGGAGGACTCTATCATTGTGATGTTTGAATCCTAATTGATAGCCGGTCCTTCCCACACGTTGTGCTGGTCTGTGAGCTGTAAGAGGAGAAGTGTGTGTCTGTGAGCATCTGCTTATGGTGACAATTCGGTTCACAACTCCAAAGAACCATGTTTTCCTCTTATCGACATCAGCCCAGCAAATGTCATGGGAGTGCACAAAACCAATGGACACAGTGGGACTGGAGTTTCAGGTATCCTCCTCTAGGTACCTAACTCAGCTACACCACAGGAGGATCCATGGTCAAGAGAGCGGTAAGTGGTTTGGATTATCAAACTCTCATGCCATATGCCATCCATGGAGGGAAGCAGTCTCAGTATCTCACTTTGAGCCTATCAGTGGCTCTCTAAATTCTCAAGAGTACTTGGAGTACACTCCATCTCAGTGATGAAGCTACAGTGCAGTGCTGGCATTAGGAAAGCAACAAGAGTGTCTATGAATGGTCATTACTGTTAAGCAGATCCTGCTGCTGAAGACCACAAATCATGGTGCTAGACATTGTTCATGTCCCCCTCAAACACGTAGCTATGGCATAGCCTCTTCCTCAAAGAAGTTATTATCTCATAGAAAAGTTAATGTCAGTAGGTAAAGATAGATGGGGACCATGAGATGATGAGACATCCTTGATGTGTCTGAATGTACCAACAGCTTAACTAGCGTTAACCAGCTAGTTACAGAGGCTAAAAAGATAACACCCCTTCAGCTGATTCTTCACAACCACCTGGGCACTTCACTCACACATGACTGCAAACCCGAGCTCTAGCTCCACACATCAGCACAGTGGCAGTACAAAGGGATGTGTTTTAGCTCGTGCATTTGCTTATGTTCTTTCTGAAAGCCTCTTCCTAACATTTGAGATCATCTGAGTACGGAAGTTTAACACTGGAAAGAGCTGAAGACTGCAACATTTCTGTCTCTCTGTAAGGACAAAGGGAGGATTAAGTCCAAGCTGTTTCTCCTCAAATCATGGATCAATTGAGCAGCTCTGGTGATGTCACTATCCCTGGCACTGAGACTTAATTCAAAATTACCTCAAATCTGAAAGATTGATTTCGCCATCAGCATTTAATGTCTGCTGTATCTTTCTTTTTCCAGCACAGACAAAAAAAAAAAAAAAAAAAAAAAAAAAAAAAAAAAAAAAAGAGAGAGAGAGTGAAGAGAGAGAAAGAAGAAGATGGTTCAGATTCAACTGCAATTTAGCATTCATTTGCATTTTTAAATTAGTTAAGCTATGGACCGTTGCAAAGCAATGACAGAGAATTTTTGTAATAATTAGTCAGCTGGGAGTGTAGAAATGACTGTGCAGGCAGGTTGCACTGAAAGAGGAAGAAATACTCAAATGCTCAAACTGGGATTTGCAGATTTACTCTCACTCATACGGGGCCAGATCCAGCTCACCAGACACAGCTACAGTGCAGAGAACTTCATCTGCACCAGACACCGACTGGAGTCAGTGGAGAAAAAAGGGTGTTTCTAGACTGTGATTCATCTTACCCTAAAGTAAAAATCTAAATCAGGACAGATGATTAGATACCTGAAATGAGGTGAGATCAATCTCAGTACCATGATCTTAAATTCTGCAGTCTGTTGATACCTGTCAATCTCTACTCATGGGATCCACACACCTTGCACCCTTCTCCCTTCCTTCTGCCGTTCCTACTATGATTCTCCTACTGTCTGTAATGAGATTGATCCCTCTCCTAACTCCAGTGGAAAGTTCTCACTGCTTCAGATCTGACAGTGAGT